GAATTTCCCGGATTCCGCACCTGGGAAGCATCTCTGTGCAGCAACATCCAGAAAGAGGGAGCAGGGAGGATAAATGGTAGACCCACACCCACACCTGTTAAATCTCCATTCTAAAGCAGACTGGGCTCTCCGTTCTCTCCTGAGAGGCGTGCCTGGTCTGACAAGAATATTCTCTTCCTTAGACTTTACCACCTTGCTTACTGCTGCTCTCTGTCCCATATAGGAAATTCTTTTCTTGCGTGAAGACAAGGACCTCTGATCCAGCCTTATTGGGTAACAGTTCCATAGCAGTAGAGAGAAAACAGCAGAGCACATCAAACTAAGTTGTTGGGAAGGGCTAGGAATAATTGGGAAATAGATAGATGGTCCTTTTTAGGGTGCTTAGAGGAAGGTTTTGCAAGTGCTGCAAAGGAAAGCCTAAAAGCAAGGTGAATGTGACATGGGAAAGCTGCTTTCTTCCCTATCCTCCGAATACATCATTGACCCTCTTCTTAATGAACTTCCAGCTTCTGTTTTAAAATTATTCAGGAGAGCTCCTACCTCTTCCTCCTTTTCCAACTCCTTCTTTTGACTATTGCAGGCATGTTAGGTGGGGAGAAAGATGATCTAAATCAAAATATCATCTCATTATGAACTTTTTTGGTGCTTATATTTGAAAAATTGACAGGGTAAGAGTCACACTGCTTTTGCCAAATCAAATATTAGGTTTTACCACATTCAGATGTGTGAGGGTTAACTTGATCCAAATGTATATCCAAATTGTGTGGCACTAAATGGTTAGGTTTTCTGAATTAATGCACCTGAAAAAGATTTTACTGCGTTTCTTGACATCCTGACAGAGGACATTTAAGTTGGCTTTTATATCCTTGTCCTTCATGTATATGGATAATCAAGCATTAACTCTCAATTAGATGATTAAATGAACGTTTTGGTCTCAATGTAAAGAATGCAACAGACACCTATTTATTCTGATCACATGTCTGATAGGCTTGGGTTCCATTTGCGTGAATTTCTGTTATTTTCAGATTTTCTATGTCAATAACTGCTTAGCTCTCCAGGGATTGTGAGATTATGAGTGTGAATGGCCTCCTGGATTTTATAAAACAAAAACTAGCTCCTCCTTGGCAGACAAAACATTTCCATTGAAGTGATCTCCTTTTCCCACATTAAATCAAAAGATTGGATTTTTCTAAATGTTTGTCTATGCAACATCTTTAACATTTTAATTGATTCGAAATGATCTTGGCCTTGTAAAGTATGCTCACTCAGTGGTTAGGTTTTTCTTTTTCTTTTGAACCAGTGTAAGCATTTTACAGCACCTGGTTCTTTGAAAAGCAGAGAACCCATGTACCTACAAGTTGGCACACAGCCAGGAAAGTCCTTTGTGGAGTGTGTGTTTGTGGTGAATCATTCATTGCCTGTAAGATCTATCAAAATAGCTTTGTTTGAAAACCTTGTTTTCCCTATTTTTTCTGATGACTCAGACTTCAGTGCTTTCATGTCTAAATTCTCTTTGCTTTCTTGTTTCTCATCGTGTTCATTCAGAAGATGTTCTTTCACTAGTTCCAAAATTTGTATTTCTATATTCTGTCAGTTTTCATCTTGAAACATACACACAGCAATATGCTCTGAATCATAAAATTCTGCATTAAATTCCAACACTTAAAGAAAACCAACACATATTCTCAATATAGGTTTACCTGCATTGCTGTTCTCATTTTCATTTAATATTGATGTATTAACATTTAAAGTCCATTGAACTTTTTAAAGTTTGAATTTTTATTTTAGGAAGCTTTTGGCTGCAAGAAACCTAAAAACTGATGCTAACTGGCTTATAATATAAGCACATATAACACCTCATGGATGAATATGAAAAGTATGATGGTCAAAGGATTAGTTAAATTAGTATGTTAATAATCATGTCAAGGATTTAGGTTCTTCCCACATTTCTCATCTGTCATTCTTTTAAATCCATTTTGAAGCATAATTTTTGTATAATAAAATTAATTTTAAGTGTACAATTAGAGGGGTTTTGACAAATGTGTAATCATATAATCATTACTATAATCAAGAAACTGAAAATTTCCGACATTCCAAAAAGTTTCATTGGTCCCTTTTCAGTCACTCCCATCTCAACCCAATCCCTGACAATTTCAAATAAAATGGAATCGTATAAGATGTACTCTTTTGTATCTTCCTTCTTTCACTTAGTGTCATGCTTTGGTAATTCAGTGAGGTTCTTTCTTATATCTGTAGTTCGCTCTTTTTATTGGTAATATCCCATTATGTAAGAGGCATGTTATAATTTGCTTATCCATTCACCAGTTTTTGGCTATTATGTAGGAGGCTGCTATAAACATTTATATACAGGTCTTTGTGCAGATACATTTTACATTTATCTTGGGTAAATACCCATGAGCACTCATGGTGGGTCATTCATACATTCATGGTGGGTTATTATACACTTAGTATTATAAGAAACTGCCTGTTTTCCCAAGTGGCTGTACCATAATGTGCCATGAGAGAGTTCTAGTTGGTCTACATCCTTATCAATGCTTGGTAACTTAACAATTTTTTTTGAAGAGCAAAATTTTTTCACTTTAATGAGTGTATCAATTTTTCCCTAGGTTGAAGAGTGGCCCAGGCCAAAGGAAAGGTGGAAAAGTCCTGAGAAGAGCAGGGAGGCCACTTGGTTAGATGTAGTAATACTAGGAAACATTTACAACAGGTAGAGTATTGTAAGTAAGTTGTTCTCAACCGGGGACGATTCTGGCAAACTTTTCTAAGTTCTCCTGATATTTCAGTTGTAATAACGTGGTGGAGGGCAAGGGGAGGGATAGAAAGAAGTGTTAGGCATATTGGGGAGGCCAAGGAGTTTGTTCATTACTATCCTATAGTGCACAGAACAGCCTACCGCTTGACCTTCCTCTTCCTGCTCCCCCTACCCCAGCCAGGAATTTCCTGGCCTGAATGTCAATGCAGAAATGCTTCTGCAAGTCAAGATAAAGGCTTACTATTGCTGAGTAAATTAGAATGACACCAAAGTGTCCTGAGCTAGGGAATTACTGAATGCAAGCTTTAAAAAGATCACTTGGCTGTTTGTTAGGAATAGACCCAAAGGGTAGAAGAGTAGAAAGTAGGGGTACCATTTAGGAGGGCGTACACCTATCCAGAAAGAGAATGTGGTATGGAACAGAATGATTCCAATACAGGTGGCAGGTGGTGGATTCTGGATAGATTTTCAAGGATGAACTAAAAGGATTTATTGCCACACTGGGTAAGTGCACTGTGACAGAGGGGAGCCAAGCAGCAGCAGTGTGTTGTGGCAGGGACTGGAGCCACATCCTACCCAAGAGAGTGACTTGGAGAAGAGATGGGAATCTGAGCAAATTTGGGATGGGAGAAATATTACCCCATATGGTATCAGAGTAGGCAACCAGACACCTGTTACATTTATAATTTAGAGAAATAAGGAAATGTTGGATTAGTGAATGACTACTACACAGGCCACAATTACTCAATTCTGATTTAAATTTCTTTGAAGGTACTTTCACAGCCACCTTACTGGATTTTTTTTAAAGGTTTATTTATTTATTTGAAAGTCAGAGTTACACAGAAGGAGGCAGAGGCAGAGGGGGAGAGAGAGAGAAAGAGAGAGAGAGAGAGAGAGAGAATGAGAATATCTTCCATCTATTGGTTCACTCCCCAAATGGCTGCAACGCTGGACCTGGGCCCATCCAAAGCCAAAAGCTATGAGCCAGGACCTTGCTTCCGGGCTCCCACGTGGATGCAGAGGCCTAAGCACTTGTGCCAATTTCCACTGCTTTCCCAGGTACATTGGCATGGAGCTTGATCCAAAGAGGTGCAGCCAGGACTCCAACTGGCACCCTTATGGGATGCCTGCATGCTGCAGGCAGTGGCTTTATCCACTACTCCAGGGTACTGGGCAGTGCTGGGTATTTTTTACAAAAATGTTTTCTCATGCCAGCTTTCATTCTGGTGACAGATTGATAGATACAGGAAGTCTCAATTCTTATTTATTTATTTATTATTTATTTTTTCCCAAAGAAACCTTTTATCTAAGGAATACAAGCTTCATGCATTTCACAAGTACATCTTAAGGAACATACCCACCCTCCCACCCCACCTCCTCCTTCTCCCTCTCCCTCTCCCATTCCCAGTCCCATCAATTCTTTCTGTCAAGATTGTTAAAGGGCTCCCTTTTTCCTTGCAAAATTTGCATTCTGAGCAATCATTGTTCCTATGGAGAATGTCGATGTGTCAATAATTGTTTTCTGAGCATTTTTCTACTCGAAAATATTTTAAGTTCACTATGTGTGATGTGTTTGAAACTACTTTCTCTCAGTTCATTGTTTTAATAACCTTACAACCTCATCCTAGGGTTATTTCCCTTTGGACAAAAACGTGAACTTCAGTAATTAGGGCTAGTTAAGATTACTCAGCTAGTAAATGGCAGGAGTAGGACCTGGGCCACTCCTGAGGCCTCAGTGTACCGGACTAGCTGCTACTCGGTACTCCTGTCACGGTCCAAGAGATCTGAAAACCCCAACTCCACAAATGCACGTCGTGGAACATCCACCCTAGACCAATCTGAGGCTCATCCTCCAGACTTCCGGCCCAGCTGCGTGGCGACGACACAGTCCGCGTTCCGGATTCAGCCTCGCCACTCCCTGGGCGTCTCCAGGGCGTGCACCTGGCACTGGAAGGAAACTGGCAGCTGCAGCCAAGCCCGAGGCCCCGTGGGCTGTAGGGGGCGTCTCGCCCCAGAAACAGGCGGCGCCGGAGCCGCCGGCCCGCCCGGAGAAAAGCGCGCTCGCCCCTTCCGAGGGCCGGCTCCGGAGCAAGGCCCGCCTCCCCGCGGGATTGGAGGCCCCTGGGCCCCGCCTAGCCCCAGGAGACCGACGGGAGGCGGTGTGCGCGGCCGGGCGGCTGAGATACGGAGGTCCGGTCAGTGTTGTCTCGCTCGCTTGGCCGGAGGTCGGGGGTTGCGTCCGGCACGTGGCGCGCCCCGCGCTCTGTCTGCGGGGGCCGGCGCCGCGCCCGAGGCCTGGGGGTGGGGTGCGCGGCCGCCGTCGGAGCGGAACGCCGGGGCCTGCGGGCGGCGTCCCAGGCCCGGGCCGGGCGGGGTCGCTGCCTTCGCGGGTTTGTTCCTGACTTTTTCCTAGTTCTAAGTGAGAACCAGCACCCCCTTCCACTCGTGGTTGCTGAAAGCGGGGTCGGTGGAGTCCGGCGAAAGAAAGTTTCTTGGAAATCGGGCAGCAGGCGCCGGGCCCCCGGCCTTCGCTGCTGGGGTCTCGGAGGAGTAGGATACCCGGCGGCCGGGCCGTGCCCTCTCCTAGGCCTGCCCGGAGCCCCGCCCTGACTCGTGGTTGGGCCCAGGGTCCCGGTTTGTCCCGGAAGCTCGCGTTGGGCGCATCGTGGACACCGCTCCGAGAGAGCAGGCCCCGCTGTCCCCCGGGGCGTGCCTGTCGTGGTCAGGGTCTCCTTTCAGGTCTCAAGCCCGCAGGCCACCGCCTTGACCCAAAACGTTGTTGAGAGTTTGTGCCCTAGTCAGTAGTTGCTCTTCCAAGGTTTTTCAGCCAGCATCCGCGTATATGCTGGCTCTAAGGGGGAGCTCCTCGTGACGGACTGCAGGTACGGGGCCCTCCGTGATCTTGGCGCCCAGCCCCAATCGCAGGCCTCCCTTGGGTCCGGAATCTGGGGCAGCCAGGTGTTCCCGCGCTCTCCCTCCTCATACTGCTGCCAGGTGAGGACAGCGAGCGCTGACTTTGGCAGTGAAGGGGTGCAGCCCTTAAAAGGGAACAGATACTTGGTCAAATCGAAAGTGGGAAGATGGTGTGGAGAAAACTTTCATGTGTAGTCGTATATATTTATAATGAACTTTCGTATCAAATACTCTCAACAGTTAAACTTGTGTAGGAATACTTAGAAGATCGCAGTTACCCTCACATTTAAATTAGCTTCAGGTGTCAAGAGGGTATGTGGAGCTGTGTAGCAGCTGGATTCTAGGCACTGGGAGGGAAGCTGGGCGTGGGGGGCCGGGGTTGTTGCGAAAACAGTGCTCCGCATCTGTAGCTAAAGTGGAAACATCCCCATTGCTTCCTGAAGTTTATCCAGTCTCCTCCCTGGGAGATTGTTTGACTTGTAACAGTAACAAATCTGACAAGCAGGACCTGTAAATAACTCTCTTTGCCGTCTGGTCTGGGCTATTAAGCCACTGCCATTTTGAAAACCTTGGAGCACATTTTCTTTTACTTTTAAAAAGATTTCTTTATTTGAAATGCAGGTAGAGAGGGAGAGATGTTCCATCCGCTGGGTCAGTCCTCAAGTGGCCGTATTGGCCAGGACCGAGCCAGGAATTTCATACTGGTCTTCCAAGTGGGTGGCAGGGGGGAAGGTACCCACCAGTCTCCAATGCTTTGCCCAGGCTGTTAGCAGGGAGCTGCTTGAAAATAAATAGAGCAGCCAGGACTTGAACCCATGTCCATGCGGGATGCCAGCGTTGCAGGCAGCAGCTTTACTGGCTCACTTGGGCCACATTGTCAAGGTTGCTTGAATTTTGTGCTTCCCAGATCGCAATCCTAATAGATCCCAAATAAATGTACTTTATCCTCAATTAGGTTAATTTTTTTTTTGAAGATTTGGTTAGTTGAATGGAAGAGTTAGAGGGAGAGACACACTGGTTCACTCCCCAAATGGCCACAGTGCCAGGAGCCTGGAAGTCCATCTGGGTTCCCCTCGTGGGTGGCAGGGGCTCAAGTACTTGGACTGTCTTCTGCTACTCTCCCAGGTGCATTAACAGTGTGGTGGATTGAAAGTGGAGCAGCTTGGACTCGAACCTGTACTCATATGGGATGCTGGGATCACAGCTGATGGCTTAACCCAGGATTAACCTGCTGTGCCCCCAGTAAGGTTGATTTTTGGTCCAACACGTTAATATTTTTTCCTAAGAAATTATGTCTTTTAGCTCTAAGTATCCCCTTGTAAAATTCACTAACATGTGTGTGATTAGAATTACTTGACTGAAGTTGTAGGGCTGGACTCTAAAGATGATGCTTTTGCTGCTGGCAGTGCAGCACTGACTCTGAAGTGGAGCTCTTTTCACCTTAATGAGGGTGGGGAGGAAGAGCAGGTGATCCTGAAACCACCCAGGGGCTTTATCTGCTAAATGGTATATCCATGAAAATCCCTTGCTCCTTGAATTAAACCTGAATACCTGCCTCTGTATACCACTGCTGTATTCCTCTCTGAGTGCACACCTTCTCTAACAGCATTCTCGGGGAAAGGAGTGTTTGTATGTATATGACATTTTCTTCTTGTCATTTGAAATTAACTGTTTCTTAAGGTGTGTTCTGCATTGTTGATATGCATTCTAGACTTTCCTAAATGCAGTTTTAAAATAAAAGCACCCTTTCCATTGGAGGGTGAACCAATGGCACAGGAAGACCTTTCTCTCTGTCTCTCTCTCTCACTGTCCACTCTGCCTGTCCAAAAGAAAAAATTATTTGAAAGGTTTTTTTTTTTTTTTTGGTGGTGATGGGGAGGCAAAGAGTGATCTTCCATGTGTTGGTTCCCATTAGTCCTCAAATAGCTGCAACAGCCAGAGCTGGACCAGGCCGGAGCCAGGAGCCAAGAGCTTCATCTTGGTGCAGGGGCCCCAGGACTTGGTCCATCATCCTCCATTTTTGCTTTCCCAGGCACATTAGCAAGGAGCCAGATTGGAAGTGGAGCAGTTGGGACTTGAACCAGCGCCCATATGGGACTGCCAGTGCTGCAAGTGGTGGCTTAACCTGCTGAGCTACAGCACCTAGGTCCCCTAAATGAATTTTTGAATTGTTGAATTAAATTCAACACATTTGGTTTTGTTTTTTTTAAGATCAGTACCTAGTAGACTTCACTCTTGTGCTGGATGTAATTTCTTATTTGAATTGTGTGTGGGATTTCCCAAACGGAATTGATTTCAGAATCCTTATTTCTAGGAACTTGGGGCTGTTTCCCATAGAAAACATTTTAGCAAATGTGTTTTGAACTTTAAAGAGTTTTTGTTTTTATTTTTAATCATCTTATCTCACCTCTTCTGCCAACAGAAGTGATGCCACCAAGGAGAAATGGAAAATATAAACTTCCAGTACCACTTCCAGAAGGAAAGGTTCTGGATGATACGGAAGGAAAACAGTGGGTGCTGGGCAAGATGATCGGCTCTGGAGGATTTGGATTGATATATTTAGGTAACGTATAAATAAGCACTCCCAGATAGTCTTATTTGTTTGATTATAACTGCGACTTCTTATTAAGATTTAAACATTAAAACTCCAGAGGCAGGCAGTTAGCCTAGCGGTTAAGGCACCTGCATCTCCTATTGAAGTACCTGGATTTGATTCTGTCTCGGTTCCTGATTCCGGCTTCTTGCTAAAGCACACCTTGGAACTCAGCAGTGACAGCTCAAGTAGTTGGATCCTTGCTACCCATGTCGGAGACTTGGATTGAGTTCTTGATTCACGGCTTCTCCAAGCCTCAGCCCTTGTGGGCATTTGAAGAGTAAACCTGAGGATAGGAGCTCTCTTTCTATCTGTATATCTCTGTCTCTCAAAAATACAAAAATATATTTTTTTGCAATCAGGAAATTAAACTCATAATATAGATTCATAAATTATATTAAAATTCATGAATGCACTTCATTTAGTAATATGAAGGTAATGTTTACAACATCAAGGTTCTAGACATGATGGACCCTTTCCTCGTCCATGTTTTTCTGAATGACTTAGAGGCCTTCTCAGAGTGTAATTATACAATCTGCCAGACAAAATGCTAATGTTCTTTTTTCTCCAGAGAGCTTGTTTTCCTGGACACATGCTTTTACTGCTCAGAAACAACAACCATATAAATACAAACACTTTCTGTTTGTGAATCTTAATCATTAATATGATAATAAAAGGGTCTAATCATTTCTTAACTGAACTCCTCTGGAGAATTAGCTTTAATAACTCAAGGCATCTATTGTGTGGAATGAATTAAACTTGTCTGTGCATCTATGGGTGTACTAGTTATGTGCTGTCCTTGGGATAATTGAGAAAATGGACTCGCATGATATATTCAGTGTTTGGCATAGCGAGAAACTCTGGGAATGCTTTGATATTGCATTTCAAATTTAAAAATTATGCTGAATTAAAACAGTTGATTCAGGGTTATAAATGGTAGGATGAAGATGAGATATACATTAAAAGACTTGATTTGATGAATAAAATAAAATAAATATTACTGAATAAGGAAAAACTACTCTTAAATATAACATCTCCTGAATGTACTGACTCACATCTGCTTTTATAGGAGTTTGAGTTGATGAAAGACCTTTGAGGAAATCTGGGTTTCTTCATAAATTTCAAAACAGACATGCTTCATGATTCATGAAAGGTTAAAGTCCCTGGGCTAGTGCTGTGGTATCGTAGGCTAAGCCTCCGCCTGTAGCACCAGCATCCCATTTGGGTGCTGGTTCGAGTCCTAGCTGCTCTACTTCTGATCCAGCTCCCTGCTAATGGCCTGGGAAAGCAGTTGAGGATGGCTCAACTTCTTGGGCCCCTGCACCCACATGGGAGACCCAAAGGAAGCTTCTGGCTTTGGATTGGCCCAACTCTGGCCATTGTGGCCATCTGGGGAGTTAACCAGTGGATGGAAGACCTCTCTGTCTCTCCTTCTGTCTGTAACTCTGCCTTTCAAATAAAATTTTTTTTAAAGATAAAAATCCCCTTCTGATAACATAATTATAGTTTTGAGTGAATGAAATTTGGTCAATAAACAACTTAATAGTTACCTCCATGTCTAATAGAGTTGGAAACAGGGTCAACATACAGCAGGGCTAAGAGACAACCTCCTCAATGAAAGGGTTTGAACTTGCTTGAAAAATGCTATGATGTGCTAGGCTGAGTGACATAGATAGCAGTATTCAGTAGAAATATAATGCAAGCTACATTAAAAAATGATAAACAAGTAAAGTTTATTTTAATATATCCTTAAATCTGAAATACTCAAGGAAATTTCAACAATGTTGTCAATCTTAAAATGACGTATTCTACTTTTAGTGAAAGTCTTCAAAATCCAGGATGTGTGTAGTCTCACAGCCTCATTAGCCACTTGAGGTAAGTAGCTAGTGGCCATAATTTAAGGCAGTGTAAAGACCATGCAAGCATCTGCTGTGTATGGATGGTAGAATTGCCTGTACGGTGTGCTTTTGAGACTTGGAATTAGCGAATTCTCTTTTGTAACAAAGAGTTAAAGACTCTAGTATACAGTCTTGACTCAAAGTCAGACACAGAATCAATAAATCATTTCTGATGTAGCCTTGGGTACCACAGCTTATTATCACTTATTTTAAAAAATATTTATTTATTTGAAAGAGTTACAGGAAAAGAGGCAGACTGAGAGAGTTCTTCCATTAGCTGGTTCACTCCCCAGATGGCCACGATGACCAGCACTGGCCCAGGTTGAAGCTGGGAGCCAGGAGCTTCATCTGGGTCTCCCACATGGGTGGCAGAGGCCCAAGCACTTGGCCATCTTCTGGTGCTGTCCAGGCCACTAGCAGGTAGCTGGGTTGAAAGTGGAGCGGCCAGGACATGAACCAGTGCCCATATGGGATGACGGTGTTGCAGTGGCTTTTCCTGTTACCCTGGAATGCCAGCCCCTATTACCACTTATGCTTCGTGTTTACTATTTGAATTATTTGAGTAATTTCAAAGAATTAGAGAAAAGCTATATCGTGTGAAAATTAGCAAGGGCACTCCATTGGGAAAGACAGTAAAGAAATGTTCGGCTATTTAGAGAAGAGAGGTGCTATGTGTTCCAGATCTCATTGTTCCATCAAAAGGTTTGTTAATCATTGGTTAGGTTAATATTATTAAAGTTAATTTTTATTTATTGTTTTCAAAGCTGTATAACCAAATCCACATGAAATTACATGATCTTTTCACACTTCAGCGTGGTTCTTGTTACTTTCTGTATATAAATGAAGAAGCAGTTAAATTCAGGTTTTCCTTAAAACCTCTGTGTCCGGCTCCATTCTTTTCAGGTATTATCCTCTCTGGATGCGCTGTTTCGGCAGATACTTTATCAGCAGTTGTTGCCTAAGGCTCAGAAGAAACTAGCTGCTCTCATTGTGCATGTACAACTGAACTCTAGCTCTGAGATCAATAGCCAAGGCCTTTCAGTAATCCGCAGCTTACAGTCAAGGGGAAGGGGCAGTGAAGTTTGGAATTTACTCTTGACATGGAGAAATAATGTGCCTGTAGCATTCACAGAAACAGTTACAGGAGGAAAAAGGAAAGTCTGAATATAAGAACAAAGTCAAGGTTCTTTCTTTGTGTATGAAAAGGGTTGGGAGTTGGGGGTAGAGTAGAAGAAAGGCAACTGGTTGAGGGGGTGGGAGAAATTGCTGTCATTTTACCGTCAAATAAGTGAAGACGTTTCTAAAACTCCAGGGAAGGAGAAAGAACTGAGGATGTGAATTGTTCTTTAATGCTAAGTATAACATAGAACCAAGTGAAGTAAGGGAGAATTGCATCAATAAGAGCAGGGATTTTGGTAGAAGGCAAAATCTGATCCAAAGCCTATCCTGACTAAACTACTTAGCAAGCCAAGTTACTTTCACCTACTTAGTAATCCTTTGGAGTCATTGTTTCTGTTCTTTGTCATTGGGATAATGCTAACTCTGAATATTAAATAGATAATTTTTTAAAAAATTTATTTATTTGAAAGTCAGTGTTACACAGAGAAGGAGAGGCGGGGGGGGGGGGGGTGTGTCTTCCATTTGCTAGTTCACTCCCCAGTTGGCAGCAATGGCCAGAGCTGCGCAAATCCGAAGCCAGCAGCCAGGAGCTTCTCCGGGTCTCTGTCACAGGTACAGGGGCCCAAATCCTTGGGCCCTCTTCTACTGCTTTGCCAGGCCATAGCAGAGAGCTGGTTCGAAAGTGGAGCAGCTGGGATATGAACTGCTGCTCATATGGGATGCCGGCATTGCAGGCAGTGGGTTTACCCACTATGCCACAGTGCTTGCCCTACAAGATAATGTTTTAAAATAACTTGGAACTTGGTAAGCAATTAAATATAATTTACTGAGAATTTTGCTTCTAAACATTTGGTGCCATAATGCACTAGGATGGTGACAGAGACCTTCATTGGAAGGATTTTCTATTTATCCTGCCATGGATTGTGGTGAGTTTAACTACTCATGTAGCAAAACTAAGAACATGGAGAAAGTCTGCAGAAGACTTGTGATGTTTTACGTACTAACCTATATCTGTGAAGGGTCTTTGGTCTTCAAAGAGTGCATGGAAAAGGCCCGCTAGGAAGACACAATGGGGGCCTGTATTGTGGTCTAGTGAGTGAAGCCACTACCTACGACTGCCAGCATCCCATGTGGGTGCTTGTTTTGCTCCATTTCCCATCTAGCTCTCTGCTAATGGCCTGGGAAAAGCAGTGGAAGATGGCTCAAGTGCTTGGGCACCTGTTGCCTTCATGAGAGACCCAGGTGAAGCTCTTGGTTCCCTTTCTCTGTAACTGTGACTTTCAAATAATAATTTTTAAAAAAATGAAATATGAAACTTGTATAAAAATTTTTAAACTATGGATTTGAAAATTTTCGCACCAGAATAAATTTTTACTCCCTTTTTCCATGCACTTTTACAAGTACCCTTGTATGTTATGATCTAAAATTTTTAGTCTTATAATGGATTGATTTTGATAAGATATGTATAATAATGTTGAAGAATTTTGTAAGTGTTCTGTTGCAGAGGCTTTGAGACAGTCTTACCTGACACAATGCAACTTTATGGTGCCAATACAAAGTGTTTCTAGGTAATTTTGTAAATGATTCTGTGGGTGTAGAATGAAGGAGTAACTGAAAGAAAAGATATTTGGTACTTGAAAGACTTACAGCATATAATAAATTGAGTTCTGGTGAAGATATAGATAAAAGGTGATACAAACTCAAAAGAGGAAGGGCTCACTATGCATTTGAATCTAATACACTTGCTTTACCTAAAGACAAGAAGCAGAGACCCTAGAACATGCATTCTAGTTTTGTATGTGTTCTTTGTTAACTTAGCAGTGTCCATTTACCTGTCAGTTGAGAAATCTCGTTAAGTATTTAAGAAAGTTTGGGTTCTTTCCATAAAAAGGGAGCATTCCTATAAGGCTTAGCCTTTGCTTGTCTTTGTCATTTTTTAAATGTCCATCCTGC